CCTGCCATACTGTCCTTCTGGTATTCAGATCTGTGTGGGCTCTGGGAGTTGTTTTCCTTGACTCCACCGGTAAACCCACAGCACAGGGGCTTCAATGTTGAGAAGGCTGTCCAAGAATCGCCAGGTTGCCCACACAGGTATGTGGGTGGGAGGGATCTGATGTCTGCCTGCTAGGGTAGAGGGACCCTGGGTCTGGGGCTCTGCATGCACTCACTTGAAGGCACTCGCTAGCAGGTCTAATCAGATAGCACAGATGCTTCCCCCGTTCTCTACTCCTAGATTTGGGCCTACCAGGTCAAATGCATGTGTAGGAGCTCCATCAGCTCAGTGGTGCTGCAGCTGCAGAACTTGGAGGATGGTGTAACAGCCAGCTGGAAATCCAGCCATAGAGGCAGAACTGGGAGGCTGCCGGTACAGATGCCTGCTGGGAGACCCTTGGGAGCCAGGGACCTGTGTGGCCCAGGGGATCTGGGTGGCCTGTACAGCTAGCAGCCTGCCACTAAGGGTGGGTGAGGCCTGCCTTCTCTATCTCAGGTAAAGAGAAGGGAATTCTGTGCTAGGAGCCCTGGGCACTGCAGACATCCTCGAGGAAGGAGGGAGTCCATCAAGGGGAAGTTCAGGGTTGTTGAATGTTCTCCAGTCTCAGTCCCCAGAGAAGTCTGCTGGGACCTGGGTCCAAATGGTCTTAGCTCACAGGTTGTGCCTTCTCACCCAGGAAGCCTCAATATTGATGTTCTGGATTCAGCAGCCCCTCCCCCAACCAATTTTGGAGTTTCAGATTCTCTGTCCCTCAGATACAGTATTCACTGAGGACCACCATCTTGCATCCCCTGAAGTGCAGATTTTTCAAGGACATCCTTAGTATTTTCTGTATTTTCTCATTGACTGTTGTTATGTCTCCTTTTTCTTTTTTTAATGTTATATATATACATATATAATTTTATTTTATTAATTACACTTTATTCACTTTTATCCCCCCATAAGCCCTTCCTTCCTCCCCTCCCAGTCACACCCTTCCTCCCCCTTCTTCAAGCATGCCCCTCCCAAGTCCACTGATAGGGGAGGTCCTCCTCTACGTCCATCTGATCTTAGTCTATCAAATCACATCAGAAGTGGTTGCATTGTCATCTTCTGTGGCCTGGTAAGGCTGCTCCCCCCTCAGGGGGAGGTGATCAAAGAACAGGCCAATCAAATTATGTCAGAGACAGTCCCTATTCCCATTATTATGTAACTCACTTGGACACTAAACTGCAATGGACTACATCTGTGCAGGGGTTCTAGGTTATCTCCATGCCTGATACTTGGTTGGAGTATGAGTTTCTGGGAAGACCCCTGTAAACAAATTTTCTGGTTCTGTTGCTCTCCTTGTGGGGTTTCTGTCCTCTCCAGCTCTTACTATTTCCCACTTCTTACATAAGATTCCATGCACTCTGCCTAACAGTTGGCCATAAGTCTCAGTGTCTGCTTTGATAGTCTTCAGGGAAGAGCCTTTCAGAGGGCCTCTGTGGCAGGTTCCTAGGTTGTTTCCTGTTTTCTTCTTCTTTGGATGTCCATCCTCTTTGCCTTTAGGGAAGGAGATTGAACATTTAATCAGGTCCTCTATCTTGATTAGTTTCTTTAAATGTACAGATTTTACTAGGTTTATCCAATGTTATATGTCTATATGAGTGAGTATATACCATGTGTGTCTTTCTGCTTCTGGGACAGCTCACTCAGGATGATCATTTCCAGATCCCACCATTTACCTGCAAATTTCATGATTTCATTATTTTTCATTGCTGAGTAATACTCCATTGTGTAGATATGCCACAATTTCTGCATCCATTCTTCAGTTGAGGGGCATCTGGGCTGTTTCCAGCTTCTGGCTATTACAAATAAAGCTGTTACAAACATGGTTGAGAAAATGTCCTTATTGTGTACTTGAGTCTCTTTTGGGTATATGCCTAGGAGTGGTATACCTGGATCTTGAGGAATCCCTATTCCTAGTTGTGTGAGAAAGTACCAGATTGATTTCCAGAGTGGTTGTACAAGTTGACATTCCCACCAGCAGTGGAGGAGGGTACTGCTTTCTCCACATCCTCTCCAGCATGTGTTGTCAGTTGAGTTTTTCATCTTGGCCATTCTGATGGGTGTAACGTGAAATCTCAGGGTCGTTTTGATTTGCATTTCCCTGATGGCTAATTTGGATGAGCATTTCTTTAGATGTTTCTCTGCCATTCGATATTCCTCTGTTGAGAATTCTCTGTTTAGCTCTGTTCCCCATTTTTTAGTTGGATTACTTGGTTTGCTGCTTTTCAGCTTCTTTAGTTCTTTTTATATACTGGATATTAGCCCTCTGTCAGATAAAGGGTTAGTGAAGATTCTTTCCCAATCTGTAGGCAGTCGTTTTGTTTTGATGACAGTGTCCTTTGCTTTAGAGAAGCTTTTCAGTTTCATGAGGTCCTATTTATTGATTGTTGCTCTTAGAGCCTGTGCTGTTGGTGTTCTGTATAGGAAGTTGTCTCCTGTGCCAATGAGTTCAAGGGTACTCCCCACTTTTATTTTTTCTTACCAATTTAATATGTCTGGTTTTATGTTGAGGTCTTTGATCCACTTGGACTTTAGTTTTGTGCTGAGTGATAAGTATGGATCTATTTTCACTTTTCTACATGTAGACATCTAGTTAGACCAGCACCATTTTTTGAAGATGCTATCATTTTGTCCATTGAATGATCTTGGCATCTTTGTCAAACATCAGGTGTCCATAAGTTGTGGGTTTATTTCTGGGTCTTCTGTTCGGGTCCATTGATCCACCATTCTGTTTCTATGCCAGTACCATGCAGTTTCTATTACTGTTGCTCTATAGTACAACTTAAGATCAGGGTTGGAGATATCTCCAGAAGATCTTTTATTGTCAAGAATTGTTTTAGCAATTCTGGGATTCTTGTTATTCCATATGAAGTTGAGAATTTTTCTTTCCAGGTCTGTAAAGAATTGTGTTGGTAATTTGATGGGAATTGCATTTTGAATCTGTAGATCACTTTTGGTAAGATGGCCATTTTTACTATGTTAATCCTGCCAAACCATGTGCATGGGAGCCTTTCCATCTTCTGATATCTTCTAATTCTTTCTTCAGAGACTTGAAATTTTTTTCATACAAGTGTTTGACTTGCTTGGTTAGGATTACACCAAGGTACTTTATGTCATTTGTGGCTATTGTGAAGGGTGTTGTTTCCCCAATTTCTTTCTCAGCCCTTTTGTCTTTTGTATACAGGAATGCTACTGATTTCCTTTTTTAGAGCAATAAGACAACTAAAGGAGATCAAAGGGATTCAGTTCAGAAAGAAGAAGTCAAAGTATCACTATTTGCAGATGATATGATAGTATACCTGAGTGACCCCAAAAATTCTACCAGGCAACTCCTACACCTTCAGCAAAGTGGCTGGATAAAAAAAATCAACTCAAAAAATGAGTAGCCTTCCTGTAAATTTAGTTACACTAAATGTATTTATTTTATTGAACTGAAATAACCTTAAAATTCTCAGGTTACTCTGTCCCTGCACCCCTTCTACTTGGGCGCTATATTAGTCTGATAAAGTATTTTACAATAGCAAAAGGGGCCCCGTTTCCCAGTGAGAAAAGTCCCTGATATGTAAAAACAGTTTGATTCCTCTATAGCAATGGACTTGGTACATTGTACAGCCCTTCTAGCCTGCTACAATTGTGATGTGATTGAAGCCTTTTGTTTTGGAACCCTTATACTCCTTTGTCTTTGTGAGGCAGAAGCTCTCTCTTAGTCAGACAGCTAGAGGGCTCCTTACAGTCTTAATTGACTTAATAAAAATTTCTCACATGGAATGTTTCAGAAAAAAAAGAGTGCTTAAAAAAGGTATACTACGCAATTAAAATATTCTAGATATAATAGGAATGTGCTTCTTCATTAAGGTAGTTTTGTCACTACACTGAAACAGAATGTTGAAAAAATATGGCAGATTCATTGATATAGCAAAGTTGATGTGTTCAATTTTTTTTGAATAATGTTGTCTTAGGACTGAAACGTAATTTTAAAATATTCGGGTGGCTGGAGAGACAGTGCAGTAGATGCAAGTACTTTCCTAGCGCCCATGTAAGGTGTCTCATAAATGACTGAAATTCTAGCTCCAGGGGGAACCAACAGTGTGTGTGTGTGTGTGTGTGTGTGTGTGTGTGCGCGCGCGTATGTATGTGTGTACACAAATAATACATAATAAAATAAATGTGGAAAAAATTATACTTTCAAAAATACTTTTCCTTTTCATCTCTAGGTCTTGAACAGGAGTCTCCACACATGCTCATCATGTTCTCTGTTACTGGTCAACACCTACAGGTCAATAATTCTTTATTTCTTCTTTTCCTTTGTCATGCTACAAAGAATAGCATGTGACCAAACAGAATAACACTGACTCTCAGGCTGTTAAACCACATTACATTAATACCTTCAGAAAAAAAAAATTCTCGCATTACATAACATTTATCACTAATTTCAACATGGGTCATAACTAGAGATGTGCTTTGTGACAAAAACATTTCCATGGGTAACTATTGTCTAATATGATCCCGTTGACTTTAAAATTTGAAATCAAATATTCCCAAAGCAAGGATTATCTCATATTTCCCAAAAGAGCAACAAGTAATGGAGAAAACTAATGAACCAAGAGCAGATTATTTCAGGTCTGATAATGAAACTCTAGACAATTAAGTGCCACAACTCTCAAACGCCAAAACATCATTTTTATCATACACCGGAAATGTGATTGTATTAGTGAGTAGTGTGAAGTCCACATACAAAAGCTGAGTGGGATCACCACCTTTAGTAATGAGGTAAAGATTATTTTTAACTCAAAAAGCACAGAATCCTATTGATAAACAATGGCAGTTATTTTTGAACCAGACAAAAAATCACTCTCAAAAAATGGCATAGAATTCATGAAAATAGTAGAAATTCAAATGATAGAATTTTAGCATTTAAAAAATAAAGTTAAGTACAAACATCGGCAGCATATTTGGTAAAATTGGAAAGATACAGGGAACATTAGCAAGGCCCCTGAACAAGGATGACATGCAAATTCATGAAGCGTTCCATATTTTTTAGAGCAATAAGACAACTAAAGGAGATCAAAGGGATTCAGTTCAGAAAGAAGAAGTCAAAGTATCACTATTTGCAGATGATGTTATAGTATACCTGAGTGACCCCAAAAATTCTACCAGGCAAAAATCTACCAGTGACCCCAAAAATTCTACAGCTGATAAACACCTTTAGCAAAGGGGCTGGATAAAAAAAAAAATCAACTCAAAAAAAAAATGAGCAGCCCTCCTATATACAAAAGACAAAAGGGCTGAGAAAAAAATTAGGGAAACAGCACCCTTCACAATAGCCACAAAGGACATAGAGTATCTTGGTGTAACTCTAACGAAGCAAGTCAAAAGTTGGTCTCTGAAGAAAGAAATAGAAGAAGATATCAGAAGATGGAAATATTTCCCATGCTCATGGCTTGGCAGGAATAACATAGTAAAAATATGGTGGGAATGGCATTGAATTTGCAGATTGCTTTTTGTAAGATGGCCATCAAATTACCAACGCAATTCTTTACAGACCTTGAAAGAAAAATTCTCAACCATAACAAGAAATAACAAAAATAACAAGAAACCCAGAATCGCTAAAACAGTTCCAATAAAGGATTTGGAGGTATCTCCATTCCTGATCTCAACCTGTACTATAGGGCAACAGTAATAAAAACTGCATGGTACTGGCATAGAAACAGAATGGTGGATCAATGGAATTGAATAGAAGTCACTGAAATAAACGCACACACTTATGGACACCTGATTTTTTACAAAGATGCCAAAACCATACAATGGAAAAAAGATAGCATCTTCAACAAATGGTGCTGATTTAACTGGATGTCTTCATATAGAAAAATGCAAATAGACCCATAACATATCACCCTTCACAAAACTAAAATCCAAGTGGATCAAAGACCTCAATATAAAAATGGACACACTAAAACTGTTAGAAGAAAAAGTGGGGAAGAGTCATGAACTCATTGGCACAAGAGACAAGTTGCTGAACAACACAGAATCAGCACAGGCTCTAAAAGCACCAATCAATAAATGGGACCTCATGAAACTGAAAAGCTTCTGCAAAGGACACTGTCAGCAAAACAAAACAACATCTACAGACTGGAAAAGGATCTTCACCAACCCTGTATCTGACCGAGGGCTAATATCCAGAATATATAAAGAACTTAAGAGGTTAAACAACTAGAAATAAAGTAATCCAATTTAATAAATGGGGTACAGAGGTAAACAGAGAATTCTCAATAGAGGAACATCGAATGGCAAGAAAGAAGTAAAGAAATGTTAAGCATCCTTAGTCATCAGGGACATGCAAATCAAAACCACCCTGAGATTTCACCTTATACCCATCAGATTGGCTAAGATCAAAAACTGGATCAAATGCTGGAAAGGATGAGGAGAAAGAGGAACCCTACTTGATTGCTGCTAGAAATGTAAATTTGTACAACCACTTTGGAAATCAATCTGAACTTTCTCAGACAATTAGAAATAGTGCTACCTCAGTTAGGCATATATCCAAAACATACTCAAGTATACAACAAAGGCATTTGCTCAACCATGTTCATAGCAGCTTTATTTATAATAGCCAGAAGCTGGAAACAACCCAGATGTCCCTCAGTTGAGGAATGGATACAGAAATTGTGGTACATTTACACAATGGATTACTCAGCAGTTAAAAAAAAAAAAAAGAAATCATGAAATTTGCAGGCAAATGGTGGGATCTAGAAATGATCATCCTGAATGAGGTATCCCAGAAGAAGAAAGACACACGTGGTATGTACTTAATAATAAGTAGATTTTAGACATATAATATAGGATGATCATACTAAAATCTGTAAACCTAAGGAAGCTAATCAAGAAGGAGGACCCTCCTGAAGTGCTCAATCTTCATTTAGAAAGGCAAATGAGATGGACATCAGAAGAGGGAGAAAAACAGGGTACAGGACAGGAACCTATCACAGAGGGACTCTGAAAGACTCTACCCAGCAGGGTATCAAAACATATGCTGAGATGCATAGCCAAACTTTTTGCAGAGTGCAGGAAATCTTATGAAAGAAGCTTGAGATATAAAGACCTGGAGAGAACAGGAGCTCTACAAGGAGAGCAACAGAACCAAAAAATCTGAGCACAGGGTTTTTTCTGAGACTGAAACTCCAAGCAAGGACCATGCATGGAGATAACTTAGAATCCCTACACAGAATTAACCCATAGCAGCTCAGTGTCCAAGAGGGTTCCCCAATAACCATCTCTGACATGAACTCATGGGTTGGCTCTTTGATAACCTCCACCTGAGGAGGAGGGAGCAGCCTTACCAGTTCACAAAGGAAGACAAAGAAACCAATCCTGATGAGACCTGATAGATGAAGATCAGATGGAAGGGGAGGAGGGCCTACCCTATCATTGATCTGGGGAAGGGTCATAGGAGAAGAAGAGGGAGGGAAGGTGGGATTGGTAGGGGCGGAAAAGGCTACAGCTGGGATAAAGAGTGAATAGACTGTAATTAATAAAAATAAAATAAAGTTAATGGTAATTTTGGAGAGGAACTGAGGAATTTATAATTGGAGAACTGAAATTCATTACAGAAGATAGTTGAAAATATCTATAGTCCAGCAGGGGGCACTGTTTATGTTTCAGAAATTGACCCAAAGCTGACTCCTGATTCATGTTTAACTCCTGGACCAAGTTTGCTGGCCAGAATTAGAGTTCCTAGCTCAGCAGTATTTCCTCAAAGTTGCCACAGCCTCCCTGGCAGTAGAGTTGTCCCCTGGGCTGAAGAGATGCAATGTGCTACTGGTGATGGTAACAGCAGAAGACTCATACTGCAACAATTCCCATTTTCCCAATACCCTGAGAACACCAGAGTCCAGCAGCTTCTGTGGAGGCTGGGGATTTTTGGACATTTTACACCAAGACCTGGGTACCTGCCCCATTTCCTGTCTGTCCTCCTTTCTACCTATGTCTTTCAGGTTTCATAGACATTAAAGAGGCCTGTCTTTGGAATGGTCCCTCTCATTCTTGATGTTTTGCTAACAGGTTATTTCATTTCAGGGTCTTCCTCCACACCCCATGAGGTGGTGATGCTGGGGAATGACTCTCTCCAGCAGTTGCTGATTATCCTTTTCCAACCTGGATCCAAAGTAGCCTCAGCAAGCCTGTAAGCCTGGATTCACCCAACAATTTACATATGCTCTCACTGTCCTGTCACTTTTCTCCTTAAATATAATGTTTCCCTAGAGTTCTAGGGCAAAAAAACTGAGGACAATGTTGAAGGCTGCTGCATTCTACACTGTAGTGGTGCTAAGCACCATGAGCTACAGATGGAGAAGCAAGACATAAACACACATTGGCCTGAACCTCTTGTAAGCACTGTCCTGGGATAGTGGGATCCCAGGACCAGGCACTGTTGTCATTCTGATGTTGACTCACCTGAGATAAGAATGTGAAAGGAAGCATTTGCCTCCATTTGTGTTCTAGTTAGAGTCACAAGGGGGAAGATATTTGTCAGCTATTATGGTAGAAAGAAACAGAGCTCCAAAGTTTTATTTTGCTCTTAGATATATTTGTTTGTAAGAGTAGAGTCAACAGGTCTCCCGAAACAAAATATAGGGAAACTGGGAGTTAGCTCAAGATACCCAAAACCAGGTTCTCAGCACAAAGAAGATTTAGTTGCCCTAGAAGGACAATGGGAAGGAATAAGTAACAAAGACAGAAGCTAAAGGAAGAGGTGAAGGTTAAGGAAACAAGGGAGAGGGGAAGATTTAAGCCAGCCTCTGAATAGAAAAAAGACATATGTGTTCCATAAGTAAATGGCAGTTTATAAAGGGAAAAGTGAAAACTTTGTGTTGAGGTGAGGTGTTTATTTCTGCAGTGGTATCAGTAGTGGTTTTTAGAGTAGAGGTAACCATGTGCCTTCAGTCTACAGAGCAGGATGAAATACCATAATCAAGGAATGGGAAGGGGAAGACGTTAATCTCAAGTGTATTTGTACTGCTCTAGTACAAGATAAAAACATGCCAGAGGGATTGGGTTTAGTTAGGAATGAATTGCAATCAGATCAAGACATAATTGTCGAATTAAGTTCTTTTAATAGATTTCATATATAGATGTTTGGTCGTACTCTAGATCAACTCTTTAAGAGTAGAATTTTATATCCAATTTACATGCTTCAGATATCACCTTTGTTTGTTACATAAGGTCTTGTATGCAAATGTCCACTTGTACACTGAGAGCTTTAAGGAACAAAAAAGGACAGAGGGAGTTGCCATTTTAGTAGCAGTAAAACATCACTAACTCCTTTTTACATACCAAATTCAAGTCACTACCAGAGGTGCGTGCACCACAAAGTCGGCAGATACAAAATTGCTAGTTCATTTTTAAATTAATAATTAACCTAAAATTACCCGTGCCCCCACCCTATTACCTCCATTTTTAGAAACAGCAGTTCTGCTTTCATACATAGGCTAGCAGGCTTGTTTCAATATGAAAGTGTTAATTCATTTACAGATACTAATATCAGTTATGTAGTGCTGAAATAAATATCCAATCTACATAGGAAAAATCTGATGAATGAAAATGATAAAGACTGAATAAGGCTATCTGATTACCTTATCTTATTTACATTTAAAGGATACCCAATGATAAGGAAGAGACAAAAATTGACAAATACTCAAGGTGTAAAAATTACATCTAGCTTTGAACTTTATACTGTAAATGAGACATTTTCTCCCCTCTTTTCCTAAATGCATATCATACCTTGGATTACTTTTTATATGCATGTATACACAATATTTCAAGTTGAAAGCAACATCTCAGTGGAGTCAAAACTACTACATACTGTTGTCTAAAACAAACTTTATAATTGTGCAGATGAATGCACATATTGATCTTTAAACATGGATAATTAAGAAAACCTTTTGGTGTTGTTTTCCTTGTATACCAATATTTAAGCCACTGGTGTTGGCAGTGTTGGAGTCAAAGTATTTCTCTACTTAATGCTAAAATCTTGGCAAAATG